ACTCAATTGCCTGATCCTAGATGCCCAAAGTACAAAACGACCAAATTCTTATTTATCTCAGTATTTAAAATTCAGCAAAATCCGCTACCATATTGATTCTACCATTGATCTTCACTGTGTGCGCAATGACAGCGCCCCTAAGTGACCGAAATTATCTTAGACTTGATATTTATCTTAGCTTATGAGTGCTTTTTGCGCACATAATTCGCAAAATCTTCAAGCTAACTAGCAAGCCGCCCCGGCTTCGCACGGGCTCTAAGTATACATAAACCTTCCTCTTGAATCACTATCTATTTGAAAAAACCGCATCAAAATTAATTGCGTAGTTTTAAAAATTTAAGCACACATAGGGACAGACAGCGGAAAGCGACTTTGTTTTATATTCCTAAGTCATTACTGACAGCTGAAAATAGTGACCGAGTTCTTCTCAGCACTGGCCCATTTATTGTCCTGAAGCAGTGGTATGGTTAATACTGGGACGTGTAAAAGTGCTTTTTTAAAGCCTATTTACAGAAATAAATGAGTTTTATGAGTTTTTTTTATTCGTTCAAGTATACCTTATGGTCCACAGAGACGCTACGTCCTCGAAGAAGCGCTTCGGACGCGCCCCGACCGCCAGTACGGGCAAGAGATGCAGGCTCTGCTGAAGGAGTTCAAGGTGCCCAAAGTAAGCCTGGGCGACTGGCTGCACATACCGAGGGTCTTCTCAAGGCAGAACGGACAGTTTTCACTGCCCATTGATACTGCGGCGCTTGAAGGTGAGATCTCTAAACCAGATAGGCGATCAGAAATCAATAACAGTTATCTTCGAACTCACCTGGGGGACTGGCTGCAGATTCCAAGGGCTTCTAGCGCTAGAACGGACACGGGACTATTCCCACCTCTCGTTCCCACCACTGCAATTCCTGTGTAGTCAGGATCTACAGCTTGACCGCCATAAAAACCCAACCAATGAAGGTCAAGTTTGTCCCGGTGGAAAGTTAAACTGTCATTGGACCCGCAACGAAATTAATCAGAAGAACATAGGAGGAATTAAGGTTCGACTTCCCTTCAGAACGGACAGTTTACTCTGGCTATAAACAGTACAGCGCTCGAAGCCGAGACCTGTGAACCAGATAGGCGATCAGAATAGCAGTTACTCTATTTTCGGACTCACTCGGAGCGTCAGTACGGGCAAGAGATGCAGGCTCTGCTGAAGGAGTACAAGGTGCCCAAAGTGAGCCTGGGCGACTGGCTGCACATACCGAGGGTCTTCTCAATGCAGAACGGACAGTTTTCACTGCCCATAGATACTGCAGCGCTTGAAGGTGAGATCTCTAAACCAGATAGGCGATCAGAAATCAATAACAGTAATCTTCGAACTCACCTGGGGGACTGGCTGCAGATTCCAAGGGTCTTCTAGCGCCAGAACGGACACGGGACTATTCCCACCTCTCGTTCCCACCACTGCAATTCCTGTGTAGTCAGGATCTACAGCTTGACCGCCATAAAAACCCAACCAATGAAGGTCAAGTTTGTCCCGGTGGAAAGTTAAACTGTCATTGGACCCGTAACGAAATTAATCAGAAGAACATAGGAGGAATTAAGGTTCGACTTCCCTTCAGAACGGACAGTTTACTCTGGCTATAAACAGTACAGCGCTCGAAGGTGAGACCTGTGAACCAGATAGGCGATCAGAATAGCAGTTACTCTATCATCGGACTCACTTGGAGCGTCAGTACGGGCAAGAGATGCAGGCTCTGCTGAAGAAGTACATGGTGCCCAAAGTGAGCCTGGGCGACTGGCTGCATATACCGCGGGTCTTCTCAAGGCAGAACGGACAGTTTCACTGCCCATAGATACGGCAGCGCTTGAAGGTGAGATCTGTGAACCATTCTCCGTATACAAAGTACATGATAGTTTTAATTCTTGTGAAAGCACGAAAACGCAAACAGAAATAAAGTATGGGTAATCGAGCGAGATGATTGTCTTTCTTTCTTTATAGTGCAAAGCACTGGAGGTAAGTCGGTCCTTAACTTCGACAAACTTGACTTTCTTTGGTTGTGTTTTTACTGGGCGGTCAAGCTTACCTAACTTCGAACTCCTGTGTTCTGCTGATTAATTTCGTTGAGGGTCCAATGACAGTTACAACAGACTTGACCTTCACTGGTTGGGTTTTTACTGGCGGTCAACCTGTAGAGCCTGGCTACACAGGAGTTGCAGCGGTGGGAACGAGAGGTGGAAATAATCCTTTGTCTATCATTCGTATTTGCATACTTGTTTCAGGCTTGACGCCAATGAACTACGCGGCAAGATTCGTGACTGTGAAGAAGTCGAAACAACTTCTCTATCTGACAGTGCTCAGGAAGTTTAGGTCGCGTGGCTACAGGGTGCCTATTGAGGTAAGTTATGGGTCAATATAATCGTTCAATAGCAATCAGGTATCATCAGATCAGTCCCTACCATTAAAATTAAAATCGGCTTGGGGCACACTGAAAACCAGGGCCTTCCTCACGCCACATGCTGAGTGGGGTCCCATTGCGATGGGAATCGCTGTTGCGACAGGGTGGAATTACTCAGTTCACATTTTATTTCCTTGTAATATTTAGTTACTATTTCTGTCTTTTTTTCCTTCCGTATACTTTCTTTGTCCATCTAAATGATGTTCATCGTAATTAATGTTTCTTTCTTTCTTTCTTTCTAAAGGTTCTATGAGTGCCTGAACCTTTCTGAATTCGACTTATCCCTCCACTTTTCTTATCAGGGGAGTCAAGTCCTTACACCTTTTCTTTGTTTTTGGACAGTCTGCCTCTGTCTCTCAAGTATCTGGTTATGAATGAGAGGCACCAGTAGAGTGGTAGATAGGTACTACGTAAATGGGGTCAGATCCCCGAAGTCTAAAAATTATGAAAAAGAAAAGCTTTGCAGGTTTTTTCTCATTATCTGCAACATTTTGTTAAGTGAAAACTTTTTATATTGCAGAACTTAGAAGAAGGTCTAATACTGATGATGGGTGGCATCTTAACTGAGAAGCAGGCCAGCAATTTCAAAAGCATTATGGACTGGGAAACGTATGAGGAGGAGGAGAACATTCCAGATGACATCAAGCTGACTCTCCTCGACACTGGCTTTAAGAAACCCATGGTTGACGAGACTGGCGAAAATGGGGAAGTACTGGTGAGTTAGTAGCCTGGCTTTTTAAATGGGAGCTTTCGTTTTTGTGCTCACCACTGTCTGAGCCACTGGCGAATGACAGGACTTTACAGTGGCGCTAACTGGTTAGTTCAAAGAATTATTACGGGTCTATCGCATAACTGATTCAAAGCCTGTTGTATGGAAGCGGCACAGGAGGGGTGACATAATCTCGTTAAAGTCTCGCTAATGTTTGACTTCACATAAAGACCCTTCTGTGCCGCTCCCATACCTCAGGTACTAAATCAGTTCTGCGCTAAACCTCTCAGATATCATACTATCTAATGTATAATATCGGTACTAATTTATTTTCCTTTTTGTTGTAGTCTGACGAGAACACGATAAAGTTCCGGACGTGGTGTGGGCTGTGCGCCATTTGCGAGCGAATGTACGGGCGGTTCCCACCTAGAGATAAAGATCCGCCTGATGGGGTAAATTGTTTTTTTGTCTATGACATAGATAATACTTGCAACCCGGCCAAGTTGTCTGCGGCGCACCTCGCTGAATGCGACTCCCTCGCACCACCAGAGCGTCGATGTGACGTCACGGCTGCCAGGCCAGGTGCGCAGTTAATGTGCGGGTTGTAGCCGTTGTAGGTTGAATGTACCTCTTTTTAGCGTGATTTGAGAGTTTTGTAACTAAAAAAACTGCTTTTTTGTTTTTTCAGATGGAGCTAAGCGATTTCACAATGGTGGAAACCAAGTTGCCAGTTCTCAAAGTTCATAAGGGCCTCGTAGAAATTCTGAATGTAATAAGGGAAAGATAATAGTTAATTTATAATTTAATTTGTTATTAAATAATTTATTTAGATAAAATATACTTTTAGAACTTTCTATGTGATCATTTTATTTCCCTTTACAACTAGGTAATTATTCCAAAGATCGTACATAACAATAAAAACATTTATTTTGTTGATGAACTCATTAATGTGGATAAGAACATGGGAACATTCCCGGAACATCTGCATTTTCTAGTCTAGAGTCCAGAGTGGGTACAATGCTTCCTTCAAATCAACAGCCCAAAGCTGCATAGAGCTGTTCGACGAGGTTATCAGCAACAGCGCCCTCCTTCGTTCGACTTCGATTAGCTCGGATAGATACCGAACGAACGAAATGTCAGCAGAACAAACAAAAAGCGCATAGTGATGTGACTTGATTTAGCGGTTGACAAATTTGCTTTGATTGAACTAATAAAAATATTAAGGCAATAATTATGTGCTATTGCCTTAACATCTGTAATAGTTCTTGACAAACAAAAACGAAATATATGAAACTTTATATGATTTCATTTCATTTATTTCGTTCCTAGCTTGATTAAAATATTAATAAAGCCACATATACTCTTAATAATATTGGAGATTTTATGACCCATTAGGCAAACAAAAAAAAATCCTCTGACTATTCTATCCTAATCCTACAAATAAAAGCTATTATTGATGACAAAATAGCCGTCACTTTCAATCTTATTCAATCATTGTTCAATCAGGTTGTCCATGTCCCATCTCTAGAACTCATAGTCTGACTGGGGGGGCGCTGGTGCTCACATGTATTGGTGTTACTATTTTATTAAAATGTCCGAAAGACACTGGAACATTCATTGATCTAGTCGTAGTATTATCAGTCAGAACTTTATCTTTGAAACTTATGAAACCTGGTTAAAAGAGAATAATTAATTAAAGAGTTTAATTATTAACTGTTTTTTGGTTTAAATGTGCTAATACTGCTATTATACAACACGTTGCATTTGTTAACTAAAAATTTTAGGGTAGCTTTTATCATTTATATGGCAACCATAATCACAGCGTTCTGTCAAATCTGACGTTTATCAATCATAAAATAGTTCGTCTTTTGGCCACCACGTTTATTTTGGACTGTGTAACGAATTTATTTTTATGTTAATGAAAAATAAACATCTTGGCCGTTAACCGCTCGCATGGTATAATTCACGCGTGACGAAAGTATAGTTTATTAAATTTTTTGATATATTGACACAATGAATACTGACATGGATTCATCGAATGCGGATGGTAAGCGGCATCAAATTTATAAATAACACACCGCGGTGGTGTATTTACGTATTCTAAAATTACTAATTACCGCGTGAACTAAATTTGGTACTATTTGGCAGAATATTACGTGACTGCGCTTCAAATTTTTGACTACTGCGGTGCAGAAAGCTCGGGGACGTTACGGGTTGACGCTCTGATGGATAAGTTTGCCCCATTCATCAAAACTAACAAGTAAGTAGTTAAACTCTTTCGTAGTATTTAGTTACTGAATATTGCCCTTTTTCACTCTAATCTCAACGTGTTGTTTATTTCTTCATAGAGCTGAATACAGCTACTTGAAGTCCTTGTTGGATCCTGGCCAGAACAACCCTGAAGTGAATGTGATAATCCTGGCAAAAGCTTTGCACAAGTACAGCGAGAGTCAGAAGTGTAAAGTTGATCTTGATGAGAGGTAAATAAATCTTTGTTTTGTACACAGTTTTTTTATTAAACAAAATAATAATCTTTATTGACTCACACAAACATTGAAAACATACATGAGATGTTTACACCGTTTATTCGTTATTTGTTTCCTTATCTTATCAAGGTTTAAAAACTTATGTGCAGTGTTTACTCTAGGTACAATCAATTGACTTAAACTCTCCTTTTATTTATTGTTGTAGCGCTAGATAATTTGACAAAAACAAGTAAACAAACTTTCAATAATACTTATTTTTTCAGCTTCAATTTGAGGTGTGGGCAAGCTCCGCATGATTCAGACTCAGGGATATCATCTGATGGTAATTTAAACCATAATCATTTGAAATATATCTCTATTTAAATTAGCACTTTAAACGCAACGTCTGTATCTCCCTTGTAGGCTTCCAACTGCTGGAAGATTTACAAAGCGAGCTGCGTGAGAAGGCACACTTGGCCCACCAGCTCCGCAACCAGCTGGACTTCACGGACCGCCAGCACGAGGAGGTGCTGGCTACGCTCACAGCTGAGCGGGACTCGCTGCGGGGACATTTGAACATGTAAGTCAAAATTATTTACATTGCTAATTGAGTAGGAATAGCAAACAATTTAATAGTCCATTTCGAAAGTATCTAAAAGAACAGTGTTGTAATCTATCAATTAACAACTGATTGAAATATTTCATTGCTTTGAAATTCACCCAATTGTAGTCCTTAATATGTAATAGAAAAGAAAATAATCATTTTTGTAGGTTGAGTCATAAATAATTTTCTTGCTCAATTGAACTTCAGTGAAACATTACTACCTAATCACTTTTGCATTATTTCTAATGGATAGAATGCATTAATGTGGTCTTTAAATACATTTTCTATATTTCTTTCAAGCTAACAAAAGCTCTAAAAGATAAGGTAAAAATACTTCCTTGTGCATTATGTTTCTCTTACATACAATGCATTTTCATGATTCATGCTTTGAGTCTAGATTAGGTAGCAGAGTATCTATTTTTATGGCACATCACACAAAAACTATCAATTTACATAATACAGGCATCTTCATTTCCCAAAACTTTGAAACACAGCTAGGGCCTTGCCACACTGGCGGATTACAAGCGTTTTCAAAGCGGAGCGGGGACGCAGCGAACACGCCGCGTATCCGCGGCGAAGACGTCGCAGCTGCGCGGCCAACACGATGCGAAAATTCTAGGCGGAAACGCTTAGTGTAAGAGCTGATTTTACACTGAGCTGATTTGAGCTGGGCGGATTACAAGCGGTTTCAAGTCAACGCGGAGAGGCGGCGCGGCAAACACGCCGTGGCTTTTTGCAAGAATTTTGTCGACAGCGGCGTGCCCACCGCGCCGCCGCTCCGCTTGCAATCCGCTAGACGGTTGGCAGTTCGAACTCGATCGTGTCGACTGCTGTACTGCTGCAAGCTTAGGGATGAGTAGTATATTCACGTCCACGTTGCTAACCTCCAGGTTACGCGAAGAGAACATAACTCTGAGCCACGTGCGCCGCGACTATGAAGAGGCCTGCGACCGCCTGCTGGCCAGCGAGCGGGCGCTGGACGACGCGCGCCGGGAGCTGGAGGGCTCCCGCAGGAGGAGCAAGCTGCTGGCCGAGCAGCGAGCCGCGCTGGAGAGCGAGGTCAGTGCAGGGGACACGAGCGAGCCACGTGCGCATTGGCGTACCCAAGGTTAGGGGCGGCGAATCCTGACAAAGGGGCTTAGGTGGATGAGGACGAATAGTGGGCACTACACCATTCTGGGGTGGTGACTACAAGATGGACTTCGAACGCCTGCTGGCCAGCAAGCGGGCGATGGACGACACCGATACCGGATCTCCACTAGAGGTAGCCTCGGGTCGAGCAGCCGCCTAGACCAGCGGCTGCTCAAATGGAGACGCTGTCTCAACCTGAGGCAAGACTTGTTGCGAGGCAATTTACCGCGGACCGAGCCACATTTTATTGCTCGAGATGAGGCAGCCTCAGGCCGAGTCGCTGCCTCATCTCGAGCAACAGATATAGCTCATAGCTAGCGGATACGCGGCCATGGCTAGCGGCCGTAATGTTACATCGACGCTCTGTTGCGAACGCGGGAGGCCTACGGGATAAGTGGGAAGGAGAATCGCTTTCCAGCGAGATGCAGTTAGCTTGCCCGTGCTGTATGGTAATTTAGCATTTATAATGCTAAAAGCTTGATAGTGCACCCACCAATATTTAGAGGAGATTCCCAACAATAAAAGCTCCTGAAGACGACCCGAAGCAGTTTATTGTTGTTAACCTTGTCTTTTACACAGATTTAATTATCGTTTTCAGAAGCTGACCCTGCAAGAGTTGCTGACCAAGTCCAAGGACGAGTGCCACCGCATCAACGAGATGTATGCCTCGCGGCAGTCGGCGTTGCTGGAGCAGAACGAATCGCTTCGGGCCGAGCGCGCCGAGTTGGCCGCTCGTCTGCACGACCAAGAAGAGGTCATGCAGCAGCTCATCAAGGAGAAGGTACACAGTCGGTGCTGCAGCAGGCAGAAGAACATCTTATTTTGAAATAAAATAGAGAAACACGGGTCTCAACACAAACATTTTTAAGAGTTGCATAATGTATTCACGTCGCGCGTCGGCTGCAGCATAGCAGCCGACACGTCACAAGCACACTTATTTAGAAATAGTTATTTACTTTTTGGACGGATACTGATTACGGGGCAGGTTAGCGTGGGCAGGCCTCCCACTAGGTGGCCCGACGATCTGGTGAGGGTCGCAGGAGGTGCCTGGATGCGAGCGGCGCAGGACAGGTCTTTGTAGAAATACTTGGGGGAGGTCTTTGTCCAGCAGTGGACGTCTTTCGGCTGAAACGAACGAACGAACAGATTACGGATTTTGATGAAATTTTTCCCTCCTCCTCTTCAAACACCTCCCATAAAGGGTGGAACTCTCCCTAACTTATCACTATGAAAATATGAAACATTTTTCACGGGTGAAGCCACGAGCAAAAGCTAGTCTATTATATTAGTGACCTGGATATTCTATTCCATTCAGGTCCTGCTGGAAATGGAGCTGAAAGATACAGTGAATAAGGCCAACCAGACTCCGCTGCGTTTCGACCGCTCCATCGACGTCAGCTACTGCGAGGACCACGCGCTCGCCGCGCTCGACAGCCTCACCGCCGATAGCCGCTTCTCGCCTGGTCAGTATACTCGACGGACTGACGATCGTCAGTACGAGGCGACCAGACGCCGCTGCGGCTCGACCGCTCCATCGACGTCAGCCGCTTCTCGCACGGTCAGTACACTCGGTGGACCGACGACCGTCAGTACAAGGCGACCAGACGCCGCTGCGGCTCGACCGCTCCATCGACGCACATACGTAGATTTCAACGATTTAGGCGGCCAAAACCCAGTTTTCCAAAATCAATCTATTGAAAAATAAACCATATACGCGGGTAGTACACACTTCCAGGAATACCATGGTACCTTATTCAATGTTCAACGAGCGCAAATCTACCCTCTAGAGTAGTCTGAATGCGATAGTTCGCTTAACGTGTATGTATTTGTTTTCGGGCGCTCTTAAACTTACAACTTTTGTAAATTGCATATTTATTTTCAAAACCATTGTTTTCGAGTAACAGTGGTGGATTGCGATAATTAAGGATAGAACCTATGTTTTTCAACAGTAATTTACTTAGTTTTTGTTTTCCTAAATATATTTAAAAATTGTCAAAGATAGCTGTATCAGAAATGAGATTTTTTTTGTATTTTTTATTTTAAAGTGGTCGTTTAACTAACTTCAGGGTCCGTCCGAGCAATAGTTTCTTTATTTTTTAATAGTTTACATATTGTTCTTAAACGACGTCAGCCGCTTCTCGCACGGTCAGTACACTCGGTGGACCGACGACCGTCAGTACAAGGCGACCAGACGCCGCTGCGGCTCGACCGCTCCATCGACGTCAGCCGCTTCTCGCACGGTCAGTACACTCGGTGGACCGACGACCGTCAGTACAAGGCGACCAGACGCTGCTGCGGCTCGACCGCTCCATCGACGACCGCTACTGCGACGAGAGCCGCTTCTCGCCCGGTCAGTATACTTGATGGACCGACGACCGTCGGTACAAGGCGACCAGATGCCGCTGCGGCTCGAGCGCTCCATCGACGTCAGCTACTGTGAGGACAGCCGCTTCTCGCCCGGTCAGTATACTGCTCGGTGGACCGACGACCTCGAGAAGATATTGTGGTAACCGCTAGATGCTAAGAGTGGGAGAACGTGCTTTGTGGCGTTGCTTGGGGAAAGCTTACGTCCAGCAGTTGACTGCTTTTAACTGAAAATGCTGATGAGTCATCATCAGCTCTGTATAAAGAATTTTTTACTTTTGATTATGTAGAAACCTATAATGAAATTTTCTTTGAATGCGGACTTACTCTTTTCACTCTTGACTTACGAAATTTTTATTGTTCCCCTACATTTTAACCACCTATTTCTATTAATCCCTAGTTCTCTTAGTAACCTTTAAATTTCCCTCTAGAAAACCGCCTGTTAGACGAAGAGTCGTTCATGAATGCCCTAAAAGAAGACCAAGGGCGGGGCACCAACATGTCGCTGTTTGACGAGATCCGTCTCAGCTTCAACAACACTTCTCGATATAGCTTCACAGGCAACCATCACGATGACAGATGCCTGAACCCTTTCGAAACCTCCATGACAACAGTCGAGACCCAAACAGATACAGAAGTTGACAAAATCACAGAATTAATCAACTCTGAAACGCAAACTGAGGATTTAGGACATATTTGCATCCCGTATCATAACATTCAAACGCAAACTGACGACATCTTCAATAACAACAATAGTATAGAATGTATAAACTGCTCGAACTGTCTTGAATGCGAGAAAATGAAGCTTAATATAGATAAATTAGAGAGCGACGTGAGGCGTTCGCAGCTTGTCGTAAAAGAAACGGAAAGCGAGCTGTCTCGTTACGAAGATAACTTAAGTCTTCTACAGAAGCTAGTAAACGATAGTAACGGGAGGAATAGCTTCCTCCAAGCTGCTGTGGATAGCTTGCAAGCTAAGATCAGGCTGTTAGAAGCTGCTTGCGCTAGCCAGAAGGAGATTTTAGAAGGCTTCGAGCGCGATATGTGCTGTGCGCAGTGCCAGACTGATGGCGGTAAATCGCTTGTGCTATTAACGTATTTGAGACACGTAGACTTTGTTATTGTCGAATTAGGAGGGTAGATATAATGTAGATGGTAATTAAATAATAATTGATTTGGTTATTTTATATTTATTTATATACCGAATCAAACCGGTGTACATGGAAAAAGGGAATCTAATGTGATTGTTACATTTGTGTATTGTAATTGTGTCTTGTTTCTATGTTGATTGGTGGTGGCGTTATAATTATTTTACACGGCAACGCAACAATTTTAGTAACTAAGTAAAAAAATATCTTAAAAATCTTACACACGGGTGATGTGATGTATGCTGCTATAGAATCATTCTAAGAAAACGATTTTCTATTGCATAGCATTTTGTAGTGTCGCCTGTCGTTGCGTCGCCGTGTATAACCTTTAATGTGGGCCATGTTGCTTATTTGTTGCATTTTCAGTGGTATTGTGACGTCCTGTTTGAAATTTTTCGTAACAATATTATGTTTACGTACAAATAATGTATTCTTAGTTCGTAGTTAATGAAGTAGATGTAGTATAGTTGAACAGAAGTTAATGAATGTATAGTTTCTAATGTAATTGTGTATGTTACAGACATATCTTCAGTGGGGACACAGGTGGAGGTGCCGTGCGCGGACTGCGAGAAAAGGAAAGTGATCGCACCGCACCGCAGTTTGAGGAAATATTTCTGGTGCGTATAAAAAGCTTATATTTTTCTGTATTATCTATGAAATGAATCTCTAACTTCGAGGTAGCTACACTTATAAATCTATAGTGGAAAGTGGTCATGATGGGCCAAAGCATTGTTAACGTCGTAATGCACAAAAAGCAACAAATTACCTATGAGCTGTGTGTTTACCATGAGTTTACGTTATGTAAGATTTTAGTTTTAAAAGTAGCCGCTAAAAGCGCTGTACAATTTGTCATACATTTATGATTTAATATATTTTTTTACGTAGTCGTTATTGAGCACACATAACATAAACTCATGGTAAGCACACTGAAAGCTATATTAACCATATTTATCTTTTACATAATCTCCTTTATAACACCAATTAGCTTCGTGTTCACCATGACAGCGCCCACATCGTCTCAGTGCCTCAGTATGTGATTGCAGGGACGCACTCAAGGTCATGTTCCAAGTTTTCGCGGTGGTCTGCTTTGCGTGCGCGGTCTGCGTTCTGTACGCCTTCGCGAGACCGCGCGCCGCCTGCCGCGATCCTGTACCGTGGCGCTGGCTGCAGCCACAAGACATCATGGACCTGTTCCTGAGGATCGAGTACGTTGCCGATGTGCCTATGTGAGCAATAATAACAGTTTTGCTGTAGAAATAAGGTCCTTTTCAGATTCATCAATATAACAGTCCACTGCTGGACATAGGAAAGTGGCCAAATATGTGTCTTGCGTGTTAATGCACAGGGAGTTCTTTTACAGGTGGCAATTATGAGCATACAGGTGTCATAACAACAATAGATGTACACGCATGTATGGTGTTATTACATCGGCGTGCTCATAATTTTGCCTTTTGGCAAATTGTTTTTCGACTTAAAAACGAGGCAATAAGATTTATAAAGGGATGATGTCATCCTGATGAGGACCTTTTTCTAGTATTATTTTCAAGATTTAAGCCAGAAATAGATAAACTGTGTTGTTACGTAGACGTCTACGACTACGGTAATCCATCTCATATACCAATGTTACGCATACGTGCACGTGCATGTATACGTAACGATGGATTACCGATGTTTCATTCGGCCGGTAGTGTAAGTCAATTTGGACCTTATCAAGTTTCCAATAAGGACTGAAATAATAGCAGTACTCTTGCTCAATGTAGCTAACTAATACTACAAATTTGCAGCATTTAAACCGCCTGGTGTAAAAGTGGTGAAATAATTATGTTCTTCAAGATTAACATTGTTCCCTGGCACAAAATGCAGCTATTTATCACAAAAAGTCAATTCAAAACTAAATTTTTTGTGCGTTTTGAAACTTTCAATATTGGCCTTAGATTTTATGAATCTGTGACAATTTTATTTCTGTCGCTGTGCTTTGAATGACGTATCACATTCAAAAACTATAAAATAATAAAACTGAAAAAAATTAAACCAGTACATTTTAGAAACTTGATATCAGAACTAACCAATAGGCGTCACAAATTAAAATGAAATTTTGTCTGCAATATTTGTTCACCGATGGAAAATACGCCAATGCAGTGCCTTGTCTGCCAATCAAAATCAAAATCAAAAATATTTATTCAGTTTAGAGTCTAAAGTTTAGACCACAAGTGGCACTTATGAACGTCAATAGAAAATAATAAAAAAAGAAAAAGGTAGCCCTTATGGGGCACTTTACATGTCTCCTTATCTTTTGGGCCCTACCAGCGCTTCGAGACAAACATATGGCAAGTGCTGAGAAGAAACGCCGGAACAAACTCAATGTAAATAAGATTTTAATTCGATAACCTAAATTTAGTAAAATGCATTTAAATAATATACGTTTTGATACGAAGAGATTATTCGGTGTTGTGATTGTAAAATTACGTTTAAGATGCATGACTGCTTGACAGTTAGTTGTATAACATCGATTTGAAGATTTTCAATCAAAAATTTTCGATGGACCTATCATAAGTTATAAAACTAACAACAGCATGTTAAAAATAACTAGACTAGACCTAAGTAAAATTCAAAATTAGTGATCCACCTTATACACAAACCAAATAACGTTGAGGGTGGTGGTGCACTTTTAGATATTATCTCGAATATTTTAATAACACACACTTTATAATTAATGCGCACTTTCCATGACGTCAATAACTTACGTTCATAAAAACACATGCAAGTCTGAAGAGCTTTCTATCTGTACAAAAGAAATGAATGTATCAATTAAATCGCTGCAACTAATTTATAAAACTGCAGCTTTTTAATTTCTTCAAGTATGTTTTATACAGTCTTGTCTATTTTACCGCATCATAAAATAAATAATAATCTCAAATCTGCCAATTGAATTTCAGCATTTACTTTATTGTTTTTATTATTACTTATTTTTTAATTTCATATTTTATACTTTCTCTTGTATATTTTAAGTAGATTAGTTTGATCCAGTTTAACGGATCTGTAGATTTTAACGGCGTTTCTCCGAATTTTTATTAATTTCAGCTTAATTCTCATTTTGATTGTCATTAATACTAATTAAAGACCTAAATTAATCGATGGCTTTTGCAATTATTACTTCCATTTCTGTGATAACCCAGTGCCAGTGTATTAGATATAGGACTTAGCTGTTTACTTGACCTAAGATTATAAAATGTCGGAGCTTCATAATTTTGATAAGCTAACTTTGTGACAATTCGAGCAATTTCCAAAAAAGTGTTGTGATAAAGTGATTTTGTGATTTATGAAAGTTGGTGACAAACAAATTTTATCAAAACGACCAAAAATTATATTAATGAATTTATGATGTATGTTGATAGTAAGCTTTGTATTTTATAATGGTTTAGCACATCTTTAAACATTGACTAGGCGTATCTAATGCTGTCCTGTCTGTCTACTACTAGGTATGTCTAAGTCAAGACCTATTGCCATCAGTCAAACGTCAAAGACTTTTCAAGAGACATAAAACAAATAAATGAGTACCTAAATCTTGTGCTTACCTTGCCCTGAAGAAATCGATTATCTAAGTAAGAGAATCAATGTTTGCAGATGTGCCAACCCTAATTTTAATTAAAATGTCAAGGATAAGGAAAACGGTGTTACCTTACCGCCCAGTTCCTTGCTAGTGTAGCTAACTAACGTGACATTTATCAATGCATTTATTTGTTAGATAGGTTAAAAATTTTACGTATCGAATTATAAGTTTGCAATGTTAGGTTTAGTTTATTATGTCTCGCATATTTGTATGAGCCCGATTTGAGACTTCACATCTAAGACTAAAAGTCGACAAGTCTAACTTCTTTTGTTATTAGTCCCGATTCATAATGGCGTGTGCGTTTTACAAGCGTATAAACGCCGCGTGCAAGCGTCGCGTTTGTTAGTTATAACTGAAACAGAATGAGGTTTATACTTTTTAATGACTTAAGTATATTGATGTGCAGTTAAGGACATAACTAGTCCCATAATCGGTATAAAATACCAGGTCCTGTTAGATTTACAGACTTTTAGTTTGAGAAAGTGAATCCATTATCGGCACCTAAGAGATTAAAGATATTTGTTCGTGTTTGTTAAGTATGTTTTTATTATATAGCATGTTTATTAATCGCACTCCCTTCAAAATTATTATGTGAAATACAGCACTACTTTTTAATTATTTTCATTAGAATGTTAATTGCGAGTGCGGTAAGAATGTAACAAAATAACAATAAAATAAATAAATATTTAATTTTGGTTTTTATTTAAATGCCTTGCATCCTTAATTAGGTACCTTTTTTCAATATTTTTGATTATGGATTTTTTGGACGTCCTTTGGCTAAAACGAACAGGTTTTTTAAAATAACAATTTAGCAATAATTTAACGAACCAAAAACTTTTATGAAACTTTAAACTTTTATGAACACTTAAAAATATTTTGATTGGTATATTTTTTTGTAAAAATGCAAACAAAAATAAAATTGCAACAAAAATGCAACATAAACAACCAAAGTTGTATTCAATAATAAGCTATTAGTTCAAGCATCTACTTAAACCAAAAAGAAACAAGCGCCACTCATTCAAATTGACTCCCACCATCTTCATTGAAAGTGGTATACTCTTACAAAGGACCCCGTAATCTTTTCTTTTGTATGAATACAATGGCGTCCGTCAACCCTCAAGGTGCCTTACACAAAGGGATATCGGGTTGGTAACTGAGAATCGCGATTCGGGATAATTCCCACAAGTCGGCCATTTTTTTTTCTGGCTGCCAATAAGAAGTGCAAAAAAGTTATTGGTCATTTTGGGGCAAGAAGTTGGGAGATGCGTATCTATTTTTAATTGGGTTGGTGTCGAAACGTTTATGGCCAATATTTTTTGCTGGAATTGAGCAATAATATTAGGCGTTTTTGATGTTTCTTGCAGGAGGAGGTAGATGATTTATGTCTTATGTCCAGCTCCTTTATTACAAAAAAATTTTCTTTATTGTTATGTAAGTATTGTCGATGACAATTAAATGTGTAATACTATTTATAAATTCACGGACAGTAACTTTTCATAATTTTTATAATAGGATTAGTATTTTGATCATTAAAATAATATTACCCCTCATTAACTTAATAAATTGTGAATAATTTATTAAAATTGCAATATCATCAAGAGTTGCTGGACACAAAACATAATTCGACTTCAAACTATATTGAACTTTATCATTCAAATATAACGTTCAAATTGTCCATGTCCATTAGTAGGGAGTGTCGCAGGGAGCACACCTGTCGCCCCACCGTGGGAACGGAGGGAAGTCCGCATAGCTATACAGACTGTTTTACAGGACCAGCTAGGGGTGGATTGAACTCCGTGAACTGTGTGATAAAATGTATTCCTCGCTTTAGGAATTAGGCCAGCTGGAATATGAGGGGCCTTATCTTTAACGGCTTTATTTGTTTACTTATCGTAACTGTTAACAGTTTGATCTAGGTCTGTATTTTTCGGTAGTTACAACTTAATACCAGATTTATACTCTCACATTCGCTAATAGACAGATTTATTTTTCTGACCGGACAAGTCCGGTCTTATTCCTTCAAATCACTCGCGTTTCTACTTGTATTAAAATTAGATGCAGATAAAGATTGCAAGTATTTAAAATGGAGGGAAAGTGACCATGAACCTATTTATTGTCTACTAGCTTTCCGCCCGCGGCTTCGCCCGCGTGGAATTTTGTCTGTCACAGAAAAACTTTATCGCGCGCGTCCCTGTTTCAAAAACCGGGATAAAAACTATCCTATGTTCTTTCCCGGGACTCAAACTATCTCTATGCCAAATTTCATCAAAATCGGTTGCGAGGTTTAAGCGGGAAAGCGTAACAGACAGACAGACAGACAGAGTTACTTTCGCATTTATAATATTAGTTGGGATAATACCTAGTTTCCAATATTTATTAAGTATTTTCTTACGCATAGGTAGTTATTCTATCTAATTCTATAATGCGGTAAGTTTAAAACCCAAAGTCGGTCAACTTATTATCTCCCAATAAATCATCGTAACCGGAAGATGCTCTCAATAATTCTCACGTTATAAAGTGAACATTTACAAATATTTATCCATCAATCAGGGCACAATAAGTTTTTTGTCCGGCGGCCGACCGACCCGGAAACCGTCCCGGATGGATTTTTTTTTATATAAAAACCAGTTGATAGGCAAAGGGCGCAGTTTTTGTACCCACCTGTTTCCATGGGAAATCTCCATGTGGGGATGAAAAAGTGCTACAGATTTTGGATGTAACAAGATTTTTTTCCGTGAGAGCGTCTCCTCACAATATTTCTTAAAAATACCCCTTCCGTTCTTATTGATTTTACATATAGGTTCATAAGGGGCCATCCATAAAGTACGTCACACGAATTTCATGATTTTTGACCCCTCCCCCGTCCTTGTCACAGGTGGTCACATTTCTAAGACCCCCCCTCCCTAGTGTGACGTCACATGTTTTGCAATTTCACATCGAAAAATTATTAAATTACCTACTTATAAAAAAAATAGCAACAAATAGAAACAATAAAATCACGCGCGCGCGAGGTACGGTGCGTTTGGCAGCATTATAGGCCAATAGAATTAGATTTTAAATCTGAAATAATTCCTACAAAAGGTTTTATTGATTTAATGGCTTTATTGGTTGCACATTAAAACTCTCCTAGGTTTTCGACTTCGACAGAGTTGTGCTTAAGTGGTGGGGGTATTTTTTAGTTTAATTTATATTTCAAATTACGCGATTAGTACCTCTAGATATATTAGATTTTGAAATGTGATGTCACAAAACTTAGGAGTCCCACCCCTTGTCATACCATGTCACACTTTGTCGACCCCCTCCCCCCCTCTTTACGTGTGACGTACTTTATGGATGACCCCTAATACAGGACCTACTTATGTGCTAAATTGTAGATACCAGGAGTTACCGTGTGGCATGAGTCGTGTGTCGCATAAAGTTCGTCATTTTCACTTTCGTCTTACCACAAGTTCGTTTCAGCCATTGTTGGACAAAGGCCTCCCCCAAGGCTTTTCATAACGACCGGTCCTTGTGGTTAGTTAACTGAAATGCTTATCTACCGGAAGCAAGTCAAAGTCAAAATTCATTTATTTGCATGTTCTATTAAATAGTGTTTACTAAATATAAAATCCCTTTTTAAACACAGACCTATCATTAACCCATTTAAGCTTTTGTAGTTGTCTGATTGTACAAATAAGTACATATTTACTGAGTTTAAATAGATAGATACATTCGGTGAGTCGAATATCAAATGACACAAACCAGAACCGTCGTGTTTACAAACTGACCCAGTCTGAGAACTTTAACATTATTATTATTTATTAAATCCCCGGAACGTCCTCAAGTTTTTGCGTCGCAATAAATTACATCCCCATCTGTAGGAAGGAAGCTGGCCCGTTATCCATTAAACAATAATATTATATCCAGTCGTCGGTTCACACGCTTTTAAGACACGGAAAAGGGCATGATCGGTTGTTTGTTGTTTTTTAAACTCTTACTTTCGGTTTGGGTTTTTAAGATTACCGGATTCACATAAAAATTGTCACTGAACGTGGTCTTAAGTTTCATGGAGGGGAATATATCCTTTAGCTGAGATTGTCACGTATGTTTCCCATTACTGGATTTTGGAATTTGGAGCATATAAGTACTCATTAAGATTGGGGTGAGGCTAGTTTACGTAGGTGGGTATAAGTATGGATGCTGAAATGGTGTAAAATAGAGCTTGATTTAGTTAAGACCTTGTTGGTCACAATGCCAGCTGTTTTTGTAAGTTCAAAGCCCGCCCGGGGACAATTTAGTAGTGATGAGTGTGAGAACTGAAAATGTATAGTACCTAAATACCTTCATGTTTTCATTTAAAAATTAATCACATTTAAGTTCAGCTTTTATGCATCATGGTCTCGTGAAAACCGGTCCTCAACAAGACGTTATTATGACGCATCCCCTGGAAAGTTGTGTATAATGTGATATGTAAGTTACTTATGTACTCAGTTAAGCGAGGGTATAAGTAGCCCTACGATAAAGTAAATCTAGGCCATTGAAAATTTCCGCCTATTCACATAAACCAGCCATGAGTATCGGAGATGACAAAGAGAAGGAATTTTGTTCTCTCTAGATTCAGGAAATAAAGCGATAACTGTACCTATGACGTGAATCATTTCGGTTAGGTGGTGGTACCTAAGGTACACAGGTTCCTAACCGAAATTCCAAATTGGTTAGGTTCAGTAAAATTCCGATAAACCGCTTTTTCCCATCATCAGCCCCTTTCACACGTCAGCGACATATGACATCAAATTATTCACTTTTCATTGGCTCCGTCACGACATCGCATGCAATACCGTCACACTTCGGTTCATGTGATACCACAGGATCTATATTAAAAGCTATTTTGAACTCTATGCTCCTTTACATAGGATAAACCCATTAAAAGTCTGGACTTAAACGTTAACTGGAACCATTTTGCGGTCACAAACCGTTACTTAAACCGTATTGCAAAGCAGTAAGGTTGAAAATAAACTGGAATTGTGTTTTGCAGGTGCCAAGTTGAGTGGTTTTCTGGCATTGTGACCGTGGGAGAAATGTTTACGATCTAATTAAATATTAATTTGTCGATGCAGGACGTACGGAACCAGACGGAAAGGTCATCAATGGAACACCTGGTTCAGTAGGACAATGACATTTTGTACTTGACTAGTATTACCACGTATTACCTACAAGTAAACAATGAAATTATCTAGGTATTAAATGTGATCAATTTTTCAATATTATGTAATTTTATGCAATAACGTTCTGTACATAATATTAGATCTTAATATAAAATATGTTTTTTAAATTGTTTTGAAGTAACTTAGATCCTTAACAATAATTTAAATTCGATAACATAAACATTGCGCAAGAAATAAAAGGAACTTAACATTCTTACTAAAATCCTCCATTTGAACCCATGACCTTTCGCTTGAAGCGTTACTGCTCACCACTACGCTACGGCGACATCTAGTCTAGTCACCATGTCACCAATAACATCAGAAATTAAAAAGGCGTCACCTTAAAAATAGTATTCATTAAATGCGTTTAAATATTATGTAAATACAAATGAAATCTATTTACCTACTGTACTTATAAGTAGCAGAAGTCCCCATACCAAAAATACTACGACATTGCTAAAACAACGCGAATTACCGAGTGCATAATAAAATACGGAGGTCTATCGAACCCTGCACCTTGGCACATTCTCATACACCGCGACCGTGAGAACCCAGCGACACCCCTGCCCATAAAGTACGTAATTCCACCGCGAACCAAACAGCACGAAAAAACACGCTACTTCATAGCCTTCCCCTTCACGGTACGCCGCACACATGAAGTACCGAGTTAAACCGCAAAGGTGTGCGTAGAAAAAAACACGGTCCTTCATGGAAAGGTGTGAATCAATAAAGTACGGGGATAACATGTTCGGGTGACGCGATAAAAAAATGCGTTCTTGATGGGCGCGCCGACGCCCATACATTCCCATACAATACAGGATAAGGGAGTAATCGAAGTAGCTTCACTATGAGGAAATTGAATTTCGGCGAAATGTTTTTTATTTTGTTGGACGTTTTTAAAATTAATATCTAGCTAAATTATCAAATACCTGAGAAAATATTTCTATCACTAAAAATGGTAATAATTATTACATTTTCTTAGTTTAATTTTAGGGTAATGCAAATGTCCTACCTACTTAGCTACCTTGTTATTTTTTTAAATTGTACAATAGTATTTTTTCTTAGAGAACGCATTGAGTAGGTAAGTTATCTGTTAACAAGATCCTTTAAAAAGATACTATAGTACTCGTACCAAAAAAATATTTAGTCCAGAATCAAACCGCGACCCACCTACGCGCAGCAACCACTCATCCACCGCGTCCATTCACAACAGGTTCCCCCGTAGAGCGAGACGGAACGAAAACAAAACATTCCGACACAGTTCCCACCGCTCCAACCCTCGGGACAGAAAGAGACAGCTCTACTTCCCCGTTGCGTTTCACAACGCGGACGGAACGGGAACAAGGGCAATTTGAATTTTGCTTTGCGCGTACGCAGGATGCTCGGACATATCGTGTCGAGCCCCCGTCGGGAGCAGACGTGTCTGTGATCTGTGAAGTGCCAGTGACGTAGTGAACAATATGCCGTGCAGCGAGGATGACGACTCCCAAACTGGGTTCATGTCAGATTCTACCAGAGGGATGTCCAAAGCTGAATTGCGAAAGGTGAGGATCCAGTGCTGTGCGGTTTTTATTTAAAAAGTGTTTTTCGAAAAAAAAAAGTGTTATTTGTGATACTCAAAAATTCTGAAAACTTATCAAAGTGAAAATCTGTTGGATTTATAAAACATTTCAAGTTATAAAACATCTTCAATTTCCAGTGATTTTTTTCTGTGAAGTTATTAAAGTTTGAAGTGATAAAGTACCATTGTGACCAATATTTTTCCCTATTGCAGACGAATAAACCGATAATGGAGAAGAAGCGGCGCGCGCGCATCAACCAGTGCCTTAACGAGCTCAAGGACCTGCTGATAGATTCTACCAACACCGACGTAAGTGTCTTCTTCAAATAAAATATTATCTTCCATAACATTGTGGTCACTTTACTTTATTACAAAAGTTTCCATGTTCTCCAAATAATGTTTAGCTCATTCACTTTTCCATAATTTCTACAGACGAAAAAAACTTTAAATTCATCCAAATTCCATTACAATAAGATAATGAATACGCGATAGAATTTCATAAATTCCAATAAGAATCTGACAGCTGAAATAATACTAATTTCAGTTTCTCTCCATTACAGCCAGCTCGCCACTCCAAACTGGAGAAAGCCGATATCTTGGAGCTGACGGTGAAGCACCTTCAGACGCTGCAGCGGCAACAGCTGGCCGCTGCCATCGCTGCCGACCCCGCTGTGTTGCAGCGCTTTAAAGCCGGCTTTGGAGACTGCGCTGTTGAAGTCAGAAGATACCTCTCCCGCCTCGCCAGTGTTCCAACCGGTCTTCGCCACCGATTGGGAAACCATCTCCACTCTTGCATCAACGGTATCGAACGCCTCAACCCCCCCGCAGACTACCCATTAATCCCCGACCCTCTCAGACTAGAAGATGAAAGACCCAGCGCGTTCCACTTCGTACGCTCAACCAAACCCACTAGCCCACCCCTCAGCCCATTATCCTGCGATTCCGCTTGCGACTCCTCTACAGAACTCGAAACACCACCAAGACCAGTCCAGACCTTCCCATTCCCTACTCCACCGAGTAGATCCGCGTCAGATCAAGACTCGAGCCCCGAGACACAAAAACCTACCGTTTCATCCACAACCATATCGCCGGAAACTTTAAAGCAGGAGGCTATTAGAAACAAAAAGTATATGGAACCTCTATCCATTATCATAGACGTGGAAAACTACAAAATAGGAATCGACGCGTCACCCAAGAGAGCGGTAGATTACTCCATGAGGAGTAAGTTGAAGAGACCGGTAGTTGAAGCTACAGGGCCCGCGCCAAAACTGATCAGGATAGAGCCTGAGCGAACTGTGATACCAGAGAGGATGGACAACAAACTGATCTACGTTAGGAAGTCACCAGAAAAGTCAGCGTTCAGGAGAGTTTCAGAAAAAACCTCTGTGTACCCAGAAAAGAGATTGACACTTCCCGAAAGTATAACCACGCCTATGGAGAGACCGTCGTTGATAAGTCCCGATTTAGTGCCTGTGATGCCGAAAACTGTGATAAGTCATACGGCGGCGTCGCTCGCTCAGTCTTCTAGTAGTCAAGTGAGGGACGAACAAAGGGCCGACGTCAGGGACCAAAGGGAACCAGACACGGGCTCAAGGTCCCCCGAAAAAAGTACAAGTACTGAAATGTGGCGGCCTTGGTGAGATTCGATGGTGATATTATATTCTGAAGTTATGGAATGAAGCTTTAAAATTACCCTGTGGTATACAATTTATATTGTTAAGATATATTAAGAGTATTATTAAAGAGTTTTTAAGTTTTAGTGCACTGTAGTTATTATTTATCGCTAATAGATATTTTTAATTAGCATGAGTGATATTCTCATGACAAAGGTTATGAGGTTTAAACATTAAGATAAATGTACAAAAATAACGAATCGTAAATTAAAAACAATTGATTAAAAATACTATCTTTATTGGCAAGCACATAGCACTTTTTATCACAATAAATAAACAATTCAAAAGTGGACGGATTAAGTTACGTTATTAATTAATTATTAAATCTAAAAACATAATTTGAAATATTTTAAGTTAAATAAATACAACTCTAACTGACAAACATGATATTCAAAGAGTAGGTACCATCCATTCTGAATTACTCGTACATAAAAAACAGGTACAGAAACGACAAGATGATAAATGACTGACTAGTCAATCTTTGGTTATTCAAAATGAAAATAGCTGCAGTTACAAAAATACACACCCGATCATTGGAAAACTTTACACATACTTTATAAATAAATATACCTGACCAATTCTTGGTCATATTAATTCATTTTGGCTAGAAATTAGGAAGCATAATACACGCAACTTTAATGTCAAGACAATTAAAATTTTTAATTCTAAAATCAATTATGAAAAAGTGGGCGTGGCTTATTTATCCTCTTGTCTACAAGATTTCCGAAAATAATTTCTTAAAAGAGTTCATAATCGACACTACCCCTACTAATAAGGTAAATTGGTAAATCTAGATAGATTTATTAAATGCAAACGTACCTACCAAAAATTCAGGTGACGAACTGATATTTTCTCTTCGATGTTTCTGGTAATAGAGTTCACTTTTGCTTGAGGAAGTCCTTCCTTTGCTGCTGCAGCTTCTGTTCTAAGAGTGTGATCTTCTCCTGGTACTTGGCCGTCTCCCGTGTCAGCGCCTGGATAGCGGAGTCCTTGCGGGCTACGGCTACCTTCACCCTGGTGGGATAAAGCATACAAGGTCAGAGTTATTACAAGATACTTATAGTTCTCACTGGGTACTCGAAACCAACAGAAACCTATGACATCTGTTCGATAGATTAATGAGGGCTATCGTTTTAGTGCTCACCAGTTTGCGCCACTGTAGAGTAAGGTCCTGTCACTTGCTAGTAGCGTAGACAGTGGCACCAACTGGTGAGTGCTAAAGTTGTAGGACGACTATCGCATTTGCACTCATCAAGATGGCGCCACTGTAGAGTAAGGTCCTGTCAATCGCCAGGGGTGCCAACTGTTAAGTATAAAAACGATAGCCCTCATTGAGTAGGTCATCATTATTTATTTTTATTGATTTCAAAACAACAATTAATAATAAATACAGTAAATATTGTGAATTAAAATTTTGAATATTTACTGGGCTGGGTGTTGTGCTTCTCAACTTTGATAAAAGAAGCACTAAATGATTTTTTTTTCTTCGAATGACTTCTGCAATTTTTTTTTGGTATCTTTTTCTGCACGATTTTAATTTAATTTCTAACGTTTTATTCCGTTACAATTTTTAGCAAAAAAAAAAATTGTTATAGAGTAAAAACTCTATGGACTTTTGTTAATAAGAGACTTAACACGCGTTTGAATTTGGTTGTTTTAAATAACTTCCCGGAAGTAAGGTATGGTCTCACTTGGCGTAGAGCTGGTGCATTTGCTCCTCGTGCGTCTTCTTCATGTTCTCGATGTCTCGGTGCAGGTCATCAACCTTCCCTTTCCAGCTCCCTTCGCAGCTGGATCGAACTTCTTCCGCTCTCGCCTCCAGTTGGGAGTTTTTCTGTTTACAAAACGAAACTGAAAAGTTACCACCTTATTCACTACAACTTATTGGTATTCATATTAAAACTATGCTAAAAGTTCTTGAAAATTACTTAGACCTGTTGCAAACGCGTATACATACGGAATTTCATAACTTATAATACTTAGTTTATTACCTCAATCAAAACCTTGTTGCGCGTTTCTAATTGACTGATGGTCACCTCCAGTTCTGCACCTGGAAATAGAAATTTTATGTAATTCATCTAATAGTATTATTATTTATTCCATGTTCGTAGCTGATGGAAATGGTACGTCCCTACTTCAAAATATCTATCTTATATTTCGTCCATAAATGTCTAAACGCGCGAGACCCTACTTGAAATCTGGTTGCACTCATGATAAATTCTACTAATATTATAAATGCAAAAGTTCGTATGGATGTTTGTCTCTTTCTCGCAAAAACTACTGAACGGATTTTGATGAAACTTTACAGTACTATTGTTTATAACCTAGAATAACATATAGGCTATAATTTATGACGATCTGTGACAAACTAAATTTCACGCGGGTGATGCCGCGAGCAAAAGCTAGTCTAAAATAGTATTCTTATCGATTTCACGTTCGTAGCTGATGAAAATAGTACGTCCCTTTCTTCATTATATCTATCTTATATTTCGTCCATAAATGTCTAAACGCGCGAGACCCTACCTTGAAATCTGGATGCACTCATGATATAATAATAAATACTCCATACTGTATACATACAGTGGGCCTCGGTCTGGCGAACGCGCGCCTGCGCATCTTGGTAGCGCCGTAGCGTGGCACGCTCCGTCTCTGCTAGCTCCTTTAGCTCCGCTTCGTATTGCTCTTTGTTCCTTCTGTACAAGAAACAAACACAAATTCATTCAATTTCTATTACTATCATCATCAGGTCATTTACTATCCACTGTCCCTCTCTAATTTATAAACTAACGGAATCTGTACTGTACACGTTTCCATTTGCTCGCTGACCAGACGGGTTGGGGATATTTTTTTACTTTAGCTGCCCATTACGAGATTCACGGAAACAATGGAATGGAAGATCCTATTAAACTTTGCCGGAAACACGCGGAAAAAATCTACTAATACATACACATTAAAATCAAACTAAATACAGAAAAAAGCATTCATCAAATACTTCAGAAGTCACAGAAGAATTGTATGTAAGCAAGCACACTAAAAATCAATATTGTTGGGTCAGAGAAGCCTCATCATCGTAAACCTGACTTACCTAAGAGCCTCTTGAAGGTCTTTCCTCCCCGCCTGCGCTTCAGCCTCCATGCTTTCGATAGCTCGTTCAATCTCCCTGTCTCTTTCGTGCTTGTGCTGAGCGGATATCTCCGCTATCTTCCTCTTGAGTATTAACTGCTGTTCATTCTCGAAGTCCCGCTTGTGCTGCTCAAAACGTTCTTCGAGTTCTAATTGTTTCTGTTTCAGTTGCTCTTCATGCTTCTCTTTTTCTTGCGCGATCTCCTGTTCCATCTGCACTTTTTTGTCGTCTAGCATTTTTTCTTGGTCTTCTTTCCATTGTTCTGTACACATATAATATTGAAAATTAGTCTTTTAAATATTAAAAAGTGGTTTTCTATAAAAAAATAGGTTATAGTATAGCCTTGAATAGCTCTGAAAATCTAATAAGCTAGGATCTTAAGATTCTAATTCTAAATAAGCATTCCCGCTACCAGCCGCGTGGCTGCTTCTAGTACTCTAGCTCCGGGCTAGCTCTCTAGCTCGCTGTTCCTAGCCTGGGTCGCTCAATCGCTCGCCCAGCGCGAAGGCGGCGCGTTCGTTCTCGGCTCGCATCACCGACACCAGACGCGTGGCTGCTTCGAGCTGGTTTCTAGCTCGCTGAGGCTTATTCCACTATTCCCCTTTGACAATCCCAGTCAACGGGGATTAGTGAACTTTTTGTTCACTAATCCCGTTGACGGGGATTGTCAACGGAGAATAGTGGAATAAGTCCTCGCCGCCCCTAGCCTAGCTCGCTCACCCAGCTCGGCGCGCTGCTGCCGCTCCCGCTCGGCCAGCGCGGCGGCGGCGCGTATCTCCGCCACAAGCCGTGTTCGTTGTTCCTGGTACTCTAACACCGAGCTAGCTCCCCGATCCTAGCCTGCCTCGCTCACCCAGCTCGGCGCGCTGCTTCCGCTGCCGCTCAGCCACCATCTCCACTACAAGCCGTGTTCGTTGCTCCTGTTACTCTAACACCGAGTTAGCTTCTAGCTCACCGACCCTAGCTCCTAGCTCCCCGACCCTAGCCTGGCCTTACATAAACATAAAAGAAAACAAAAACTTCGTGATAAGAAAGTCTCTGATTATGTCAGAGGTACTAGAATTAAAAAAACCGGCCAAGTGCGAGTCGGACTCGCGCACCGAGGGTTCCGTACAAACCTGCAAGGTTTACAAAGTTCGTTCATTACGACAATCGAGTCATAACTATGGTATTTTTATTGCAAAATGAAATTCATAACATTACAATGGGGAAAGTAACTACTTAAAAGGAGAATGCCCAAAAGTGGTATCGCTCGAAATCTAATTGTACATTGAGGGTACCACACCGTAAATTCCTTTCTTCATTTGTAATGATTTGCGAAAGTAGTAAGAAATTGTAAAACCTCCGGAATAAAATCCGATTTTAATAAAAAGTATTGTAACAATGAGCTGCAATCAGCAACACCTATCACCGAGCAACGACACTACGTAGTTCGCACGGTTGTCAATAGATGGCGCTGTTCGTAGTTAGCTCGCGGTATCATTTGATTTTTTCCTGTCCTTAAGTAGTCAGGGCTAACCACAAATCCCTTTCCCCTTGCAAAATGGTATAAATAACATTGGTATGCACGCAAGATTATTTTGTGTTTATATCTGATCCTTATCAAATAACGCTAGCTTTGGCGTAGCTAGGGTTTTTTTTTAGGCAGGGTAACTATCTACAAATATAAAACAAGTATTCTAAGGTAAAAATTCTGAGTTCACAGGAAGTACCTTGTAGGTTTTGATTCCCTAGCGTGTGACGGAAATTCGTCTAAGGTGTCGGTATAAACTGCTGTATCTTTTGATCGCGTTAACTTAGAAGTTTGATTTTTTTACTTCTTAAAGGGACAATAGATCTAGGTATTTGGTATAAATTTCAATTTGATACCTTTATTCGTTCGTGAGAAATAAGGTAGTAAGTTTCATTTTATTAAAATATTTTTATTATATTATATAACTAAAAAAATGTAATTTTCGCAAT